TTTTTTTTTTTTTTTTTTTTTTTACAATGACAGACTATCTTAGGATAGCATCTATAAATTGGTCAGCAGTATTCTGTATCGGCTTATTATAAAACTTAAAAAATGTTTGTGATTGTGTCGACCAACCTGCGGTGCGTCGTATTATATCTATGTCAATACCTCTTTGAAATGCAGCTCACACGGTCGCATGTCGCGTACTATACGCTGAGAATTGGTTTACATCTATGCCCGCCTTAGCTAACGTGGACTTGATCCAGTGACCAATAGTCTGTGCACTTACCGCACCATATGGTTTTACTGTCGATATCAATAGTCTTGTATTTTTACTATCTCTTAACTTTTTAGTATAGTCTAAATATGCTAAAATAGTTGACGCCGTACATAAACTTGGGTTTTCTTTAAAATATGGAAACCGCAGTTCTGGCTGAAAGGCTCCTGGCTTCGAAGTTTTAATCAAATCCGGAATTTTTATCGTTATTTCATCTGACAAACAGTTAATATTTTCCACACGTATTAACGCTAAGGTCTGCAAACGATGTGCCGTTGTTAACGCCAACAACTTGCCATCTTTTCTGCTACATCTTTATGTTTTAATTTACTTAATGGATGAAGTTTCTTAAGATATGTGAGGACCGGTGCGATATTCCATGTGGCATTATATCTGGGCTTGGAGGCTTCTTCTTATAAACACCTTTCAGGAAACGTGGGATAAGCCCATCGTGTGAAATATTATTAAAGGAAATAAAGGAAATAGCCGACCTAGCAATATTCAACGTACTGTAACTTGCACCTTCCTTAAACCTCTGAGTTAAAAAGGATAAAATAATTATAGTCGATGCATTAACGCATCAATATTGTGTTTTTTCGCGAAACGTGTCCATAACTTTAAGACGCTTCCGTATTGCTTAAGGGTCGAAGGTGTTATGGAATTTATCATAATCTCCACTGACTCTTCTGTAACTCCTTTCCGTAGGAAAGCTTCCCTGATAGTTAACCTGCCACTTATGAAAGCTTTGTCGCCATTAGGTGTCTCCTTTTTTACAAGGAGATAATAAAAGATCTTTACACGGTGGAAATATCAGAGGCTCCGACAGTAAGAGCGATTTAAAAAATGGAAACCAAGGTTGGCTGACCTATAAAGGTACTATAATTGTGCCCTCTACTTTGTCTAGAAGAAATTTTCTTAACGTTTGTAAGATTAGTGCGAAAAGAGGAAAGGCATAGACTCTTTCCTCCGCCCATGATATTGTAACTGCCTCTACAAAGGTTGCATCTGGTTTCGGAAACCTAGCACAGAATCTGTTACATTTTCTATTTAATCTTGATGCGACAAGATCGATAGCAAATGGATCAAATCTCCTCTCAATTTCGCGAAAAACTGCTTCCCATTCTGTATCAATATTAGTAACACGCGATGCTATATCTGCCTCTATATTTTTGCTTGATGGAATGTACGACGCCATAATCCACAATTTTCTCGTTTCGCACCACTGCCATATTCTACGCGCTAGCTTGCTAAGGTGAGGAAATTTTATTCCCCCTGCCTTGTTAACGTATGCTATTGCTTTTTTATGTACATCCTTCAAAATTTTGATTATTAATTAATAATGCTAGAGCTTTTTCTCTCTCTAACTCTTTTATATACACTTTACTATACGCTACTGCCGGGCTAGCTGCCGTTAAAACGCCTAATAATCTTGCTATTTCTCGAATTCTGTACCACTTCCCTTCTTGAAATTGATTCAATAAACT